CAGCCATCGAAAAACAGCATTCCAATTTTTGAAAGCAGAGTTCAATTTTGAAAAATATGTATGTGATGTCTCAAGGTTGGGAGCAGGGAAGTCACTGAGCCAAATGCATGGGGCGTTGTAGACACTATAAATAAATAAATAAACCACATAATATTTTGAAAGTGCAAATATTTCATAATATTTTGAAAGTACTTCAGCCTGGGTGTTTTTCAAAACCTTTTTGTTAGTGATCAACTGCCAATGGAAATAAAACTTTATTTTGTCCTGGACCTTTGATCTATCTATCTATCTATCTATCTATCTATCTATCTATCTATCTATCTATCTATCTATCAATAGACTGTGATTTACATGTTTCATTACAGTTTCTGAGAGGGGGAAAAATCACATCTGAGCTTGAGGATAGTGATTCTAAAAGTGTTGGGGGGCCTGTAGCTCCTACTGAAGTCAAGATTAGGCCCATAATATAACTGTGGTCAGAAGAGTGAGTCTGTAAAAATGATATCTTGAGGTTCCATATTTATTATCCATTGATGGCTTCCATGTCCGCAAACATGTCCAAACATGAGTTTTCTAATGGTTAGCTTTGCATACTCAGTCTGCTATATAAGAATCGGACTATTCTTTCTGCCAAGCACATCACCACATTTGATAAAGAATTAGAACATAGTTTAAAATTGAGGGTCTGATGCAGCAATCTCTATGCTAGTAGAACTCTTGTTAACTTCAGTGGAACGTGTGTGTGTGTGTGTGTGTGTGTGTGTGTCAGGGGCAGAGTAGAAGGGGAAGGAGGTTGACAAGATGGGGAGGCCTAGAAGGACAGGATATTGGTGGTTCAAGAAGCAGAGTTGGTTTCTCCGTAGTGAGATTGCCTCTGCAATGCAGATAGTAATAAAAATAGGCTTCAGTGTGTAAACTAAAACTATGTCTACATGATGGACACAGCTGTACCATCTCCTGCGTAGCCGCTCTATGCTGGCGGGAAAGAGCTCTCCCTCCGGCATAATTAAACCACCCGCAAGAGCGGCGGTAGCTATGTTGGTGGGAGAGTGTCTCCAGCTGACATAGCCCTGTCCCTACCGGCGCTTTTGTTGGCAAAACTTATGTCGATCGGGGTTGTTTTTTTTTTTTTCACACCCTGACCGACAAAAGTTTTGCTGACAACAGTGATAGTGTAGACAAAGCCTAAGTAGATATGGCGGAGAGCATGTATAACCCACACATGTCCTGGGTGTGGTGTTCTGGCCCATTTAGGGGCACTCAGACCACTTAAAGCGAGAGAGAGCTAAGACTGTAGAGCAGATTCATTTTTAACAGACAGTTGGCTTTTAGCTCATACTGTAGAGGCTCATGCCCTAAGCTCCAAAGGTCCCAGGTTCGATCCCGCCGACGACCGGGGTCTGTCTGTGTTACACATGTACAACAAGCTGATATTTATATTAGCAAGTTGCAAGTTTTACAAATTTCTGACCATAAGTGCACTTTAAAATAGTAAGTTGCTAACTAGGGCCTCTGTAGCACCAGTTATGGCATGGTACCGAGGGGAGCAAAATTGCAGAGAAAACTGTGGCAGAAAGTGGGATTCTAGCCTCTAGACATCTCTCCATATTTAAAAAAAAAACCAACTCACCTGTCTAATGGGCTGTGAAAAAAGTAACCAAAAGAAGGAGCAGGAGCCACTTTGAGCCACAAACTCCGCAGGAAAATATGTGGCAAGCTAATGCTGCATATAGCAAATTAATTGCGGCTCCCTCTCTCTCTTGCCCCTTTCCCCCACCTCCTTCTTGGGGTAGCTGCACAATTACTACTCAGAAGCTAATGTTAATGCAGCTACTGTCCCAGCCATGCTGTGACAGCTAGAGAGGAGGAGGCTGGAAACTAGTGAAGAAGAATAATCCCACCTCATAGCTGGCTGGGGATCTTCATGGTTGAGGGGGATGAAACTACTGCAGATACTTGGCCTCTGTGTCGTTTTCTGGCTCTGTCTGTGGCTGGTTCACTCGCCTTGTTGGTTCTGTGACAGCGGGGCAGAATGTGTGGCCTCCACAACTTTGACAGTGGTGAAGAGTTCTTGAATGAATTTGTTCCCTTTCACATGCATTAGCCACATGAGTGGGAGTGTGTGGCCCTAAGATGTCAGAAAGCAAGGGTCAGATTCTGCAGTCCCTACTTCGTCCTCACACAGGCAAACCCATTGAAGCTAGTGGAAATGTTGCTTGACTAGAAGATTTGTCCCTTAAAAGTCCAAATAGAGGAAAAATAATGGAGACAACCAAAGCTATAGCTTTCTAAATTCCTTGGAAAAACTGTGTGGAAGATTAGCCTTCATAGAGACCACTGCCTAATTTAACACACTGGTGGACAAAGCACTAAAAATATATGTAGTAGGATTGTCCCCTGTACTGGTTGGGGGCCGGACTAGATAAGATGATAGGTATGGTAATTAACTGAAGCCATGGACTGGCCTCCCACTGAGGAACACACAGGAAAAAAGGGAGTGAAAGTGTGTTGAGAGATTCTGAAAGTTTAAAATTTATGAAGTTCCTATCAGATTTTCCCCAAAAAAGTGGAAGGTTTCAGGGAGTAGCCTCTAAATCCTATGAATTCCTTTAGCCACTGTGCAGTTTGCTGCTGGATAGTCTCTTCCCCCAGGATAGCAAGACTCCTGCAGGAATTATGTTCTCATTGGCCCTCCCCTAAATGACACACAAACTGCCTTGGAAAGGAATGCAGTGTCTTTAATACTGAGGACTTGTATGCTGCTGGAGTTGGAATGGAACTTACCAAGTTATGGGTTACTCCTTGGCTCATTCAGTCCCGTATTCAGACACACCTTCTGAAATTCTGCTCAGGGTGAGACAGGAAATCATTCTATGAATTACAGTAATATTTAGTCCTTATATAGCCATAGGCACCAACTTTCCCCGGCGCCGGTGGGTGCTCGTGCCTGCCCCACCCCGACTCTACCCTTTCTCTGCCCCCTCCCTGCCCCATTGGACCCCTTCCCCAAATCCCCTCCCTGGCCTCGCCTCTTCGCCGAGCGTGCCGCATTCCCCCTCTTCCCCCCTCCCTCCCAGCGCTTGCCGCGTGAAACAGTTGTTTCGTGGCACAAGCGCTGGGAGCTGGGGGAAAAAGTGGGCACACGGCGCGCTCAGGGAAGGAGGTGGAGGCAGAGGTGACCTGGGGCAGGGAGCTGCCAGTGGGTGCAGAGCACCCACCAATTTTTCCCAGTGGGTGCTCCAACCCACGGAGTCTGTGCCTATGTATATAGCACTTTCAGCCACCTATTTCAAAAGACTTTTCAAAGGTGGGTCAGCATCATTGTCCCCGCTTTTACAGATGGAGAACTGAGGTATAGAGAGGTGAAGTGGCTTGCCCAGGATCGGTGGTAGAGATGGGAACGGAATGCAGGCCTTCTGACTACCAGGCCAATTCCTTGTCCTCTGGGCCACTATACTTCCCTTAGTAGTGATTCACATAGTACCTGGGCCTTTCGTTGTTCCCCACTATATAATGATTAGTTTTGGGATTATTTTATTGCACTGTTAAACTAAAGTGCCCCATTAAATGCAGGGAAAAGGTTAACTAAAGAGCTGCATTTATATGGTTCAGCAATTTTGCTTTGTGCATATTTATTAAATTTTTTACCAGGTCAGTCAAAATTGCAGAAATCAGTTAACATGGGGTGTAGCAAAAAAGTGTCATTAAATATCTTTATAGTTACATTGTGATTTATTATTGAGTTTGGTATTTACTTATAACATAGTTGACTTCAGCTAAAAGTTGAGCTAATCTAGTCCTAGAATAATGCAACTTATTTTCTTTTAATATCTATTTGGTGACATCTTGGTGGGGGTTAGACTAGATGACTCTTGTGGCCCCTTCTGACTCTGTTTCTATGATAATTGTAACACCGCTCACAAAAGGAAGCATCTAAAACTCCTTTTTTTAAAGTCAAGTTTGCTGATTTATATACTTTTTTTAATGTGGGACCTAGTTTTAGTTCTTACAGCACTGCTAAGCAGCGCTGTACTTCTTTGGGTCTCAGCACCGTATGTGCTGAATATTGATCACTTTACTTTAATAGACTGCCATGTGTCAAGCTAAGCTACAGCCAAGAGCTTGGAAATACCTATGTTCCTTGCAGACCAGGATCACTGTAGTCACAGTACCTTGAAGTGGAATGCGCGTAGAATTTTACCCTCTTGGAAACCCCTGGGTTTCTTGGGTTTATGTCACAAATATGAAAACTCTAGGAATATGGTGAAGTGATCCAATGGATATAAAATGACGGAACGATGAGTCAGTGCAGATGACAGTAAAAGTAATCAGTGAAAGGCAGAATAACTAAACATGCTTTTTGCATGGCTTTCCATTTTCAGGGTTGTCATGCAAAGAAAGTGTTCCCGTTATCTGTCACTAGCAATCACATTTGCCTTTCTCTGTGGTTTTCAGAGCATTGTTCCAATACGCTTTTGTTTGAGTTACATTTTTAAACAAACAAAATGAGAGATGTTTACATTAATAAGGCAAGATAGACTAGGAGAGGTAATTCGTTGCTGTCTATTAGGAGTAGTGAGAATGCTGAAGATTAAAATTTGGCTTCTACAGTAACATGATGGTTTGTCTCAGTTCTGCTACATGGTTCCAAGCTGTTCAGGACAAAGGAAAAAAATCCCGCCTTCTCCCCCCACCCCCCTTCAAGTCCATTAAAATTCTTACAGGGTTTTAAAAAATGTGGACCTTCCTGTCAAAGCAGCAGACTAGACCATGATGCTGATTCTGTTTAAAAGCAAATGTGCTTGTCTCTGGTGTTAGCATTTCCTTAAATTCCTTAGGAACTCATGCATGCAAACCTGATTTGATGAGCTTCATGAAATGGCCTGTGGATTTCTAATGCTGCTGTGCTGCAGGCTCTTCTTCAGGTGAGAAGTGTGGCAGGTTTCTGACTAAGCTTTTTATGGCATTTGAAGTTTATGACTCTATATTGTTTTATTCAGGTATTAGTGCGAGGAGAGCTGAAGTAATGAGAAGTCATCATGGAGGCCCAGTCCCATAGCTCTGCCACAACCGAGAAGAAAAAAGTTGAGAATTCCATAGTGAAATGCTCCACTCGAACAGATGTCAGTGAGAAAGCTGTTGCCTCCAGCACAACTTCCAATGGTGAGTAACAGCAGGGATTTACTAGCAGCAAAACCTACAGTAATTTTATGTTCACTGCATTCCTTGTGAATTGAGCATTTGCACCTGGATCTGTGTTTGTTCTAAGGAAAGACTAAAGAAAGCAAACGGGAGAAAAAAAGTGGATAGGATATAATAAACCCTGTTTTGGCTTCAGACATAGCCTTTTTCTTCCAAATTTTCTAATTTGAGATGTAAATCTGCTAAGTTATTTATTGTAGGAAGTTCCTGTTTTGGCATTTTGGAAATCTTCTTGATTAGCCTGGCAAGCATTGCAGATGCTTTGCATTTTACCATGGAAATCTCTTCCAGTAGTTAGATAATTAGTTATTACAAAAGAGACAAAAGTAGCCTTGCCAAAATTAATGGCAGGGTTTTTTCTCTCTTGTTTTTCAAATAAACTTGTCTATTGTAAATTTTTTCCCCTGTCCCTGAAGTTCTTTAATGGCTGGTGACAAAATCTCAAGTGAACTTCCAATGAATTCATTTCAAAGTTGTGACTATAAAGGTTGCAGATTTACAAAAATGAAGGGGTTTAGTCAACTCTCCCCAGGGATTACCTCATTTTGCAATTTTGGATACTCTGTGCCATTCCACGCCCCCAACCCCTTTCTTTGTTTAATTTACAAGAGCTAAAATCATTGGTCCTTACTAAAGCAAAACTCCCATTGAAGTCAAGGGAAATTTTGTTCAAAGAAGGCCAACAGTATTTGGCCCCATGGCTTATGATTGCTGCAGATTAAGCTCTGCATTTAGCAAAGAAATTCAGGCAATCAATCTGGTAACTGTTACAGAAGAAAAAAATGGCCGTTCTTTTTTGTGTATTGGAGTTGCTGTGCATCCCTGGGAGAACTCGGAGTGTCCCCTCCTCCACCTTGCATCAAGGCCACCATCTTTCAGTCAAAGGCAGGGTTCACTGTTCATTGAGTTGAACAAAAGCGCACACACCCAAAGAGAATAGGTGGAGACTTGAAGTGAAAAATGCACAAGTTCTGCAGCTGTACTGAGGGGCAGATCAGGAGAATAGTTAAACATTTGGGGGAACATATCCCTTCGTCCTTCCCAGTGGTTCTGTCACTAGATTTAAAGCATGCCCAGCCCCAGCTAAGGCAGGGATCAAGTGAACATAAAATCTCCCTGTTAACTACTGGAACAACCCTGCCAATTTTTAAAGTATGTTAGATCAGATCCTCAGCTTGTGTAAATCTGCACAGCTCCAGTGGTGTCACTAGACTTACGCTGATTTACACCCGCTGAGGATCTGGTCCACTGTATTCTTTTCAATGACAGGATTTTACACATTGACCTAGTTTTTTTACACATATACATGCTTAAATACCCTGATGCAAATCCCGTATAGTGCGCACTCAACCACAGTGTAGGCACACGTGAGCTATGATTGACAGTGTTGTCTGATGTTTGGATCAGAGGACCAGGAGTCAGGACTTCTGTGTTTTTTTTCTTTTTTTTTTTTTTTAATCCCCAGTTCTGCTGCTGACTTGCTGAGGTCCTTGGTCAAGACACTTAATCTTTCTCTGTTTAGTTTACATACCTGGTTAATGGGAATATCAGTAGTTAACTATCTTTAAAAGGGTGCTGTGAGGCTTAATTAATAAAAGCACTTTGAGATCCTCAGAGGAGAAATATAAGGATAAGGAATTATTATTAACCGTGTTTTTTGTGAATGTTTTCTGCAGTGAGACATTAATGCAGTACACCCTTGGTACCCTTTTGCAAAACTCTCTGATTTTTTTTTCTTTCTGAAAAATGCAGATTCAGGTCAACAGAAACATTTTGTGTATTTGTGTCAATTCTGGCTACTTGTTATGGTTGAACCAAAAAAAGAAGAAAATTCAGAAATGTCAAAACAAAAAAAATTTTTTTTCAGTCTAAAGGGGAGTTAGGTGGCTTTCACAGAACTGAGGAGGAGGAGGAGATTGAGAGTGTGGGACCTCCCCTTATAACCAGTTGTCCAGTGGCTAGGGCACTCACTTTGGGAGTGGGAGACCTTGGATAGAATCCCCCACTCTGGAGCAGGGACTTGAAGCCTTCCAGAGGAGCGTCCTAAGCATCATGCTATAGGCTTTTAGGTTTAAGGGGTCGGGAAAGCTCCACTACTGCTTCCTCCTCACAAAATTTTTTGTTTGACCCAAACCAAAATTTTTCTGACTTTTTCAATTTGTGGAAAATTCTGAAAAAATTCAGTTTTGATTCAACCTGAACCAAAATTTTGTTTAGACTTTCTTCGGAACTGCCAGCAAACTGAAAAATCAGTTATTCCCACAGCTGTAGGACACACTCTACATCTAGTCAAGTCAATGACAAGGCTCCCTGTGACTTCAGTGGTTAAGGATTGAGCTGTTAGGTATGCTTTTTAATTGAGTCAATCGTAAGTAAATTCAGGACTGGAATGTCTGACCTACCCTAATATACAGCCAGCCCTAGAATTCTTCCACAAGGGCAGGATTGAGCCTTGGATGGATATAAACTCTTCAAGGGTATTAAGATATTTCTCTTAAAGTAGTCTATATGGTCCATGTATAACATACTGAAATAAGTAATGATACTAAAACTTAGGAATTTAGAGATACTGAAGGTTATAATTCCGGTATGCTAAAGTTTTGTCTCTTTGCAAATGTGACTGCCATGTTAATGAATTTTGGTAACAGGAGACAAATTTTATTAATGCAGCATGAAAGCTCTCTGTTGCATCTTTTGTTTTGTAATACTGGAATTGTTAAGTGTTAAATGAACTTCACCAGCTGATATAACACACCATTTGCTGCACAAACATTCAGTTTCTGTTTATGAATCGCAGCTTTTTACAAAAAGGTCAAATAACATAGAATGGTTGTGATTTACAGTTTTCTGCTTTCTTAAAACAAGGTAAAGCTGCTTAAAAATATACTGAGTAATCATTGGTGTATTTACCAAACAAGGCCCCGCATGTGGCCATTACAGATCAACATCTGCCAGTCATACCATCACCTCATAAATATATCTAAAAACTGTGTTTTCCTTTCTGGACAACACATTAATTAGCAAGTTTGCCGAGTAACATACACTTGAGTGACAGCTGTCCAGGAGTTGCTATGTGAACTGGCATTTTGTAAGTGGCTCCACTGTCTTCTAAAAGATTTACAATTGAGTCATAAATAGGTTGAAAGCTCTTAGGGTTTTGTGCAGAACTTACAATTGTGCAGGAGAAACAAGGAAGACTCTATTTTTAGTATTTCTTTACAGTTCCTGAAAGAAAATAACTGTTCAATGCACCTGATAGCAGTACCTATGTTTAAATAAATATTATGTATGGAATCATTTAAAAAAAAGAAAAAGCATTTTATTGTCTGATACGCAAACTCTGTTTTATTTAAGAGTCTCTTTGGTGCATGAGTGTTATTGAGAACTATTTGATGATAGATTTGGGGCCCGATCCTGTGGGTGATGATTCTAAGTGCATATTATTTCACATAGGCTCAGACCCATTGACAGGCTTGGCTCATAGTTTGCACTTTGGCCATTTATGCTGAACTACCATGATTACTCTACGTAGAACAATAACAGCAAATTCTGTTGCAGTCACTTAACCACAAACTGTACTATAGTGCTAAACTGCCAGCACTGTGTTAGTTCAGGGGCTGCCAGCATTTCCATTATAGAACCCAAATTTCAGGGATTTATAACTCTGCTATTAAAATGTGCTCCAGGCTGTAACGTGCATGGAAGGTCTCAGTACTGGAGTAAATTAAAACTTTTTTTAGGCATATGCTCAAAAATAAAAATCATGTTTTTGTAATAATTTTAAAACACGTTTGCTAGTATTAGATGTCTTATGGGACTGCTGTATTTTGTTTTGAATGAATTTTTGAAGGCCTTTGGTCTCTTCTTTGGGTTTTGATTTTGTGTATATCACCTAAAACCACACATATCTTACTATGGTACACTTCTTTACAAATCTGTCCTTTTCCCCTTTCTTTGTATGAACGCTATATTTACTGCTAGGATAGTGTTCAGAATAAAACAAAACAAAACCCTTAAAAGAAATTTGCTAATGGAGATATTTATACAGTACTTTGTGAATGAATGAGAATCTATGACTCTAATGTCAAGGTATGAAAAAACTTACATTTATTTGTAATTTAATACCCTTAGAATGAATCCACTCCACGAATACAAAGTATTAATAATAAACATAACAAATGAATATCATTTTCACATAGTTGCCATGTTACTAACGTTTATGCTGGAATAATTGTGCCTATGCCTCAGACATAAACCCTGACACCATATTGATGTCATGAAGCTTCACTAACATGCTTCCACATCCCCCTCCCCATCCACAAAATCGGGCCAGGGGCTGGGGGGTAATAGGTGCCTACATAAGGCAGAGCTCCTAATATAGGGACTGTCACTATAAAATCAGGACACCTGGTCACCTAATGCACCCCTACCACCATCATTTACGAACACAATAATACCTTTGTGACATTGGATGCACACAGGTGAGGGAGCTGTTCCCTGCAATGTTCATTTATCTGTGTATTGATTTAGACCCTGATCGTGCAAAGTGTTCCATGCACACAGTAGTCTCATTAACGTCAAGAAGGGAACAGCTGTTATGAGAGGGGTCCAAAGGTAATAAACTGGTTTGAGTACAGATCACTAGCATTTTCTGTGGCCTTTTCTAGGGAGTCTGCTTGTTAGGGCAACTTACACCATTGTCCTGCTAGACGTTTCTTTCTCCTCTGCTGGTCAAGTGATGCCTACTATGGTAATAAATGATCACCCGATTTAAAAAACAAAACAAAACATTTTCCCTCCTTGATGTGAAAGCTTTAAACATTAGGTGTTTCTAGAGCGTTTGAGACAATACCCAAGCATCTGCCTTACTGAAGTATAATAAATGCACACAGTTAGGTTCTGCTCCTTCATCTTGTTGCACTTGCATGACACCCTGCACATATGTGGAGCCTCATTGACTG